GGTAGTGTGTTATAGTGTTGTTTGGTTTATAACATAGATGAGGTAGTGTGTTATAGTGTTGTTTGGTTAAAACCATAGTTAGGATAGTGTGTTATAGTGTTGTTTGGTTTATATAACATAGTTAGAATAGTGTGTTATAGTGTTGTTTGGTTTATAACATAGTTAGGATAGTGTGTGATAGTGTTGTTTGGTTTACAACATAGTTAGGATAGTGTGTTACAGTGTTGTTTGGTTTATAACATAGTTAGGATAGTGTGTTAAAGTGTTGTTTGGTTTATAACATAGTTAGGATAGTGTGTTATAGTGCATTGTTTGGTTTCCAGCTAGTTTGGAATAATAAAGTATACAATGTGTTTGGTTTGTAATTTGGAATGTAACTGTACAACCAGCTAGTTTAGAATGAAACAGTGTACAATGTGTTTGGTTTCCAACTAGTTTGGAATAATAAAGTGTCCAATATGTTGTTTGCTATTCAACTAGTTTGGAATGATAAAGTGTACATTGTGTTGTTTGGTGCCCAGCTAGTTTGGAATGAAACAGTGTACAATGTGTTTGATTTTCAACTAGTTTGGACTAATTAAGTGTACCATGTGTTTGGTGTCCAACTAGTTTTGAATAATAAAGTGTAAAATGTGTTGTTTGGTGTCCAGTTTGTTTTGAATGATAAAGTGTAGAATGTGCAGTTTGGTTTCCAACTAATTTGTAATGTACAATGTGCAGTTTGGTTTCCATTTAGTTTGGAATACTAAAGTGTTCAATGTGTTGGTTGGTGTGCATCTAGTTTGGAATGATCAATGTGCATTTTGGAATAATACAGTGTTCAATGTGTTGTTTGGTTTGCATCTAGTTTGGAATAATAAAGTGTTCCATGTGTTGTTTGGTTTGCATCTAGTTTGGATAATTTATGATGGGTAAATATTTCTATATATAGCAGCTCTGCCAACAGCTCTGATCGAGAGTGTCGCTAATTTCAGGTGTGTAGAGCCAACAGTACCCCCCCCCCTTTCCTTTCCTTGCCCTAAACTATTTTCATAAGATTACCCCCTTGTGTAATCTCTCTTTCCGTTCCCGTAATCTACGTATGAACATGAACATACATATATGTAGGAAAGTTAATTGCGGTCGCGTATACTCTGCGTACATATTGAAACCAGTTCTCTCTGGGCGGAATTTGTAAACAAGAATAGATGCATCAGTGTTAATCTAGTTTCCGAGGAGGTTAAAAGCATCTAATTTTAATGATTTTAATAATTCACATAATAGCTTCCTGACCAGAATATTTTCATAGATTATTTTTGTGAAAATGGTTTCAATATGTCGGGCTGTGACATCCGTCTTGTGTTTACTTTTCCGCCCAAAGACAGTACACTGCAGTACAAAAGATGCGTACATCTCTAAAATAACTTTCCTTGCCTTAGTACCTTGACACTATGGATGTAATAGGGGTCAAAGTAATTATTTATTTATTCAACAGATTATTCTATATTTATTGCGTTGAAGATAAACTAATGTTCTGAAGATCATCAAAAATAAGTGTGTTGTATCCCCTTTTTCCCCAAATAAAGACCTATAGGGAGGGGAGGGGGAGGGGTAAAATAAATGTATGATACAAAATCTACCTGAGAAGCTTTGAATCCTTGATTGCTGAAACTATTCTCCACAGCTAGATAAGATAATAAATTAAAAATTAAAACAAGCTGTAAAACAGAGATTTTTTAATTAAAGAGGCTGTGGACGCTATTTTAAGTTACCCACCATCTATACGATTCACAACAGTGCCTTTTAACTTTTGTCTTGAAATATTTCATGATTAATGTAATTGTTGATAACTAAACATGAACAAGTATACAAACTGTTTTTAAAATATTATTTTTCAGACAGAAAAACAATATCTGATCGTCGGCTATGATCAGACAAAGACTTAAAAGTTCTCGTTGTGAATCGGACATTTCAATCTATAAATGGGAATTCACGTATACAATCCCTTTAATGGATTATATTATTAAATACAGTTAAACCCTACATCAGCCAGACAGCGAATGAATTTATCAAATGTCGTCTTGACAATTTTTCAATGGGGTTTAATACTATTTTTCGTATATCTCAGTATTTGCAAAATAAATAAATAGCCATGAAGTTGCGGGAACAGATTTAAAGAGCACCATATATTCATTTAATTAAAAAACTTAATATCCATGCATCATTCCAAAATCAGAAAGTGAAGAATAAGACATTTGATGAATTCTTTCGATGTATTTAGGGTTTAACTGTATACAAATAGTATAAAGTGGAAAAAGAGCTGAAATACTATTGTATTTCTGTTTAATTCGTTATTCTGAATATTTTTTATATTATCTACCTGAAACAGGGGATATTGTAGTAAACACCAAGGGTTCAACCGGGTTTCTGTTGAAAACTGGTTCTGTTGATACATCTCTGAAAACCGGTTTAGGAAAGGTCTTGATAAAAACCGGTTTCTGAAAGTCAAAGCTTCCAATTTGATCCTGAAATTCAGGTCTTCCACTTCCAGAGCCTCCATTAAACACCGTAGGCTGGAGGTTAGGTAGTGGAGGTCGGAGGCTGAAGTCTGGAGCTCGGAGGTTAGGATCCGGAGGTCGAATACTTGGATGCAGGAATCTTGGTCTCCGAGACTGTTTTGTGTTTAAAAACCCATTTCTAGAATCAAACCTGTCTTGCTATTTTGATTGGAGGGTGCTCATTATTTATGAATATTTTGAAAAATATATTGTCGGCTTGTTAAACAGTTTACTCAGTCACTCATCTAGTAGATAATCATGGAGCAGGTAAGAATATATTCTATTTCGAAGTAAAAGCATTTAAAGAATTAAAATCTGTTTTATAGAGAAGGATTAAAAATTTGTAAAAATTCTTTGCCAAAATTCTCGTGCAGGGTTTTATCTTAAAGGTAAAATAAGATTTAGGGAAGAATTTTCATCTTCCTTTGTTAAGATGTTAATACTTTTACTCTTAAATGATAAACTAGATACTTTTGCTAGGGATCCAAGAAAAATGTTTCTATAAATGTCGTCTATGAAGTGTCATGCTTCGTTGAGCGCCCTAGTATTTAGTCCTTAGCAACCTAATCTTTCTGTGTCTCCATGTATATGTTTAATATGGTTTCCAAATCTTGAATTCCTTGAATATTTTATCGTGCTCCTCGTTTATACATCTTCACGTTTTCTCATTTACGCATCCTACCATATACAATACGCACTGACGCAAACATACGTACCAAGGGTCCAAGATGGTGCAATGGAAGGATGGTAAGGCGGAGAGGGAGGATGTAGATACATAGTTCCATAGGGGTACCAATGAATAACTAAAAAAGAGCGACTAAAAGGGGGAGTTATCCGTGTCATATATTAAGATTGAGAAAGGGTGGAGGATCAATCAATATTAATCCGTTGATTCTAAGAAAATTGTGAGAATTCAATGATGAGATTTACATACTATCCCGGTCTTGTTAAAATACAGAAAATGATATTCAGACATAATTCAAATGGAAAAGGCTAAAACTGGATTCGAGTATAATGAAGAAAAAGAACCGAGTTGTGGGAGGGGGTGGGGAGGCGGGGAGATACAAATCTAAATTAGAATAAAACATTCTTGTCTTTTTCACACATTTTCTGTTTTTAAAGACAACAAGGTCATAAAATTCATTCAAAACCTCATCATATACTTTTAAATAGGGTTTCCAACGCAAGTGGATTTTGCTTGTGAGCTCTTTAATTCCGCACAATTCCGCGCAACGGAATTCCGATTGGAATTTACTTTTATACTATACATATTCATCCTACACTTTTATATATATATATCAATCTAAAAAATGTTAAAAAGCGTTTCTTCACGGACCGTCCCCTCTGGAGAAATTTTACAAACGAATTTACTTTTTTACGCAGAATTTATACAATGTAAAAACTTCTCATTGGTATCAAATGAATACCATGCATTCTCAGTTCAACTACGCTACCTGGCCAGTCTCTCCCTTTAATCCTACAATCTTGCACGCTTATCTTACAATTATTTACATACACACACTCTAGCTCTCGTGCTTGCAGAACCTTTCACACACTAACTTGTATTCTAAGAATTACAATTCATTAAAGCAGAAAAGTCATTTTCCACCGATTTCCCAGGATGTTGTTCTTCTACGCTATAACCTGCAAGTTCCTAAAGGATGTACGTATATATACAGCCAGCCTCCCCCCCCCCCATAAAAAAACAAGGAATTAGATAAATCTTTTTTTCAGAAATAAATAGATTTGTTAATATATTTGATTAATTGAGAAATGGAAAATGGTTTGAACACCATAAAATCTATTTTATATTTTCAATCTTATTTTTGCATTTTCCTGTATATACCTTGGGGCTAAGGGTAGGTTCATAGTTCACAGTTCTTATATGCATAAACAGTGGGTGCCAACAAACATAAGTTTTAAAAAAATCCTGGTGAATTTTTTATGTTGGCAAGTTCAAGATCGAATAATTGCGAGCGTAATATTTCTTTTAAATATGAATGATTGCTCCGCCAAGTTCATACATTTTGTGCTATGCTTGTTCTCTATTCAATATTTTATATTGTATGATTTTATACGAAACACCCTGTATGACCTTATCCTTCTTGTTGGGTGTAGAAATGAAGTGTTTTGACATGTTAATTGGTAGGATAGGATGGAAAACTATAAGCTTTATTTTGCGAACAATACTCTTCAAATTTGTATTCGAGAAATAAGAAAACGCGCAATTTTTCTTTTTCATATAGCAGTGTCTTTTGATATCTTTTAAATACTTTTATGCTGGCTGGAACTATTGAAATCATTAAACAAAAATACTTTAATCTTAATTTAATTTAAAACTGTGTTCAATGTCAAGAAATGCAATTTTCTTTAATTTAAAATATTTTTTAAATAGATTAATGAGAGATGAGAAAAGTCGTCAGAAACAAATATAAAAACTCATTAAAAAGAATTATTTTCAATCTTTTATCTTGTGTGAACTCATAAAAACTTAATCTCACATAAAACACACTGCACACACTGCACACACTGCACGCACAGTGTAAACGCAAAATTATAATATGCAGGGTTTCTCACAAAGGAAGAGACTTTAGAGATTTCACATAATTCGTTGCAGAAATACACTATTTTATTAACATATCTTTTTTCATTTATATAATAAAGCCTTTTAATATATATTAACCATATTTGTTATCTATAGCTGGCAAAACGGCTGAACCAAATTGGCTGAATTTTTTAGGAAATCCATGGGTACTGGGTAGTGAGTACCCTCGGGAGTGACTTGCTAAAAAGCGATGATTTCTTTCATCACTCGAAAATTAATTTTTTTTCTTTAGTGTTGTTTCAAGCAATTCCACGGGCAACGCCGAGTATTTGAGCGGGTACTATATATACATATATATGTATAATCAGAAGGATTATATTAAAAATATAAAAATGAAACTCCTTAAAACAAAGGTTTAACAATTTTGAGTAAATTTTTATCGTCCTGGTTGAAATATTCGTGGTTACCCAGAACCCTTAGTGTTTTTACTTTACAACAAGACAATCAACTCTGCTAATTACTCAACCCCAACCTTGACGGAAATTACGAATCATTTTGACAGATATGTGTGTCCGTTATCACAAGGATTCGTCCCAAAAAATTGTTTAAAGACTGATTAATATTTCAACACTTGAAATAAAGCTGTGGTTTAAGATCCCCAATGAAAGAGCTGGTATGTCCGATCCACAATGATACCCTTTAAACCTGTTGTTTTCTATCTCACGGACAGCCCTAGTACATTTGAATATCCGAGCCGGGTCAATCTTTCCGGTCCCAGTTTGTACTGTATCGCTCGGACATTGGGCGAATAACGCAGACACTTAATAGGACTAGCCGGTGCAACAAGGTTGACGCGGTCGGACTTTAGGTTAAATTTACTTTTACTAAAGGGTCAGGTGTGCGTGATCTTAACTAGTTTTTAATTCTGTTAATTTTCTCCAGTGTTACTGCAGTTGAAACCTTCAGACACTTTTATAAAGAAACTATAATTGAAAAAAATGAATTTTCAAAGTTAAAAATAATCACCAGATAAAAAACGACGACATCTAATTTTTTCAAATCACACTAAACAATAAACAATATAATCTGCAACTTTTCATAAATATCTGACCCTCAACAGTCAACACCCTCTTCTATCGACGCCTAGAAAGCAAAAACTCGATGAAAGAATTAGAAGAAGGCGTATTCAATGTGGGCGTGGGATACAAAAAGTTTAACATTTACTTACTTAACTAACTTTAACTAATCTTTTTCAGACTTTACTTTCTCACTTGTGGAAACCTTTATTTTATGAGAAATTTAAATGACTTTTATGTGCCGGGAGTAAGAACAGAATTTCTTAGACGATTTCCTTTTTACTCATTTCCCACTGCATGGAATTTTCTTTCGTCTGAATTTTCCCCGTCTCAAGTTTATAAATATGTTTTAAAATATATTTTCTATGTTTTTGGCTTGGGACAAATATATATATTTGATTTGATTTGATTTGATATTCGTAAAGGGAGGGGGGGGGGCTTCTACACATGTTTGCATTCATTAATGGTAATCATGGACATGGAAAATAAAGATAAAGTTTCTAACGAGGATATTTGTGTCCCCAAGATGCATATGTGCGTATTTTTGCGTTAAAGCTTGGAGATAATTCAATATGATATGGGACGCTCTGTAGCTAGGTTCTCCCTTTCCATCCTAGAGATTGTGGAAAGGGGGATATGTCAGAATAAAAAAACAGGAACAAGTTGTAAAAATCACGTGATTTTGTCTCAGAAAGATTTAAGGTTAGGATTTTTTACAAAAAAAGTTTCTCATGAATAATTGCAGCCATATTTAAACAACAATAACAATTGAAACAGTACAACAAAATGGCCGTTTTACACTTTTTTCTAGTAAATTCCCCTCTAATATATATTCTATTCTCTATGCTAGTAAAGAACTTTGCAATGTGGAGCCTTGAATAGTAGAACTGATTAGCTGTCTACTATAGTTTTCTAATTTTAATGGTTAACTCAATAAAAATTGAAAAAAGTTACGCCTCTCGATGTTTCTTTGAAAATTCTGTTATTCGACACGAACAAATAAAAAGACAATTATCGCCAATTATAGATGTGTACATTGTACACTGAACAGTGTACATACACTGCATCACTATAGATGTGCAAATTGTACATAAGAAAAATTCACAATTTCCCAAACATAATACCCTGTTTAGAAGGAAAAGGGAGTTCCTTAAAAGTTAAAACTTTTTGCACAACAATATTGCAATGTAATAATTCGCACATGCACATGCAGGTATCTCATATGGCATCTGACAATTACTTCCTTTTAAGGAGGAAAGAATATAAGACAAAGTATTTATTTTCTGAAAAGTTTTAGGGAAGCCCCCCCCCCTCACTCGTCAATTGTTGCGTGCTGTCATTCATTTCTAAAAGTCGTAATTAAAGTTGTTTAAAGGGTTAGGGATGTTACAAATATAGATGATGAACATATCATTATTTGTAAAATTACGATCATTATTTTAATTGTGATCTTCCCCTGCAGACTTTATTAAAATTCTAATGTCATGTTTCCTCATCATAAGTTTTATCACTTATATAGTTAAAACAAAAAGCTAAACACATTGATAAAAGACAATTTTGGAAAATTTAACAGACTATTATGACTCCCTGAGCTACTGGTATTACGAGTTATTAATAGATTTGTATTGATTCTTAATGAATCTATTTATATCCAGGTTTCTACTAATTCTTAAATAAACTATTTCTAACTAAAGGGTTTCCTACTAATTCTTAAATAAAATATCTACATCCAGGGTTACCTTACTAATTCTTAAATAAAATATCTACATCCAGGGTTACCCTACTAATTCTTAAATAAAATATCTACATCCAGGGTTACCCTACTAATTCTTAAATAAAATATTTACATCCAGGGTTACCCTACTAATTCTTAAATAATATATCTACATCCAGGGTTACCCTACTAATTCCTGAATAAAATATCTATATACAGGGTTACCACTAGCAATATCCAGGTTTGCCCTACTAATTCTTTAATAAACTATCAATATCCAGGGTTACCTTGCTAATTCTTTAATAGGCTATAATCTATATCCAGGGTTTTTAAATAAACTATTTACGCCCAGTGCTTCCTACTAAATCTTAAATAAACTATTTTTTCCGGTGCGCTTCTTATACTTAAATAGATTTTTATATCCAGAGTTTTGAAAGGTATCCTAGATAGATTATAGGTTTGATAGATTATCTGTTTCCAGGTTTGCCTGATGTTTGGTGAGTTGAGAAAATTATCCAGGATAGAGAACGGAGAGAAGGATTGAGCCAGGGTTGGAGAGAGAAGGGTAAGAAGAGAAGGAAGAAGGATGGAGAGAATACAAAACTTTGTAAATCTCATTTTATGTTTCACTGATTTTTCTGAAACAAAATATTAGTTATCCAAACCGAGGGTTGAAAATCTTTTTTTTTAATTCCTTGTAATTCTCATCATTGTACTAATTCCTAACCTTGTCTTAAACCAAATTCTCAACTTTGTCCTAATTCTTAACTTTGTCCCAATTCTTAACCTTGTCTTATACCTTATTCTCATCTTTGTACCAATTCTTAACCTTGTCTTAAACCTTATTCTCATCCTTGTACTAATTCTTAACCTTATCCCGAACCATATTTTTATCCTAATTCTTAGCTTTATCCTGAACCTAATTCTCATCCTTGTACTAATTCTTAGCTTTATCCTGAACCCAATTCTCATCCTTGTACTAATTCTTACTGTAAAGGTGTGTTGGGGGATGCAGAATGCCAGAATGCCGGTGATTTATATTCTTTATTTAGAAGCAGGGCGTCACTGATTACAAGCTAAATTAGATAAACTTCTTAATAATATAGATAGACAAATACATTGATAATCAGATTAATAGATAGATAGATAGATAGATATATTTATAGATAAATTGATAGATAGATATATAGTTAGCCTTACTTATTTACCCTGCCCTTTCTTCTATACTTCCCCTTCTTCCTTACTAATTTACCTACCCTTTCTTTTATACTTCCCTTTCTTCCTTACTAATTTCCCTACCCTTTCTTGTATACTTATCTTTCTTCCTTACTTATTTCCATACCCGTTTTTCTATACTTCTCTTTCTTCCTTATTAATTTCCCTACCCTTTCTTCTATACTTCTCTTTCTTCCTTACTAATTTCCCTACCCTTTCTTTCTTAATACTTACTTCCCTTTCTTCCTTACTTATTTACCCTACCCTTTCTTTCTTACTTCCCCTCTTCTATCTTCTTAAATTCCCGCTTTGTTCCCTACTTCCCCAACATTTTTCCCTTCCTTACCCTTCCTTCTCTTTGATCTTTTCCTCCCCCTTTCTATCTTATTTTCCCTTCCCATTTCATCCTTACTTCCCTTCCTAATTCTTCCTGTCTTCCCTTCACCTTTTCTTCTTTTTTCCCTTTCCCTTTCTTCCATACTTCCCTCTACACCTGCTCTACGTCTGCCCCTTCCTGTGTATTGGCGGATCTAAGATATTTCCTGTTTATGTTAAATGAGGGGCGAATGAGGATTATGGGCGGAGCTTGTATATATTTTGTTCGTAAACTATCCTCCCCTCTATTTAGAAATAATAAAGGGACCGAACGCCAATTTCTAATTTACTTTTTTTTTTATTCTAGGCTTTTAGAGAGCTAATATTTCAATTGTGAACATTTTCTCTTGTAAAAGCAAAAATTTCACGGATTTTATAGAGAAAAAAAAATTCGTGGATTTTCAAAATTTTCAAAAATCGAATTTTGTTAGAGGCAAATTTTTGACAATTCGATCATCCTAATCCTTCCCCGGGATCACGCGAGGTCCCACAAAAAATTTGGGCTCATTCTGTTCAGCTGTTTTGAAGTTTATTGGATACAAATAAACGGACAGACAGACAAGCAAAGTATACATAGATTGCATTTAAAACTGCAATCTAGCTTGGATCTCAAATTATTAAAACTGGTTGATTTACTGAGTTTATTTCCTTGGAAGAAGTGTCATCACATCAAATCCTTATTTCATTGAAAAATGTTTGATCATAACAAATCTTGTGAACACTCCATTTAAATATACTACCGGCCAATCAAAATAATTAGTCTGATAAACTCTTCCTAATTCAATTAAATATTAAAGTTTCAAAACTTTTCTCTATTTTATTTTATTTTATTTTATTTTATCTTATTATCTACTATCTACTATCTACTATCTACTATCTACTATCTACTATCTACTTTCTACATTTTCTATCCACTATCTACTATCTACTGTCTACTATCTACTATCTACTATCTACTATCTACTATCTACTATCTACTATCTACTATCTCCTATCTACTATCTACTATCTACTATCTACTACCTACTATCTACTTCAAAATTTATTCCGTCCGCTTAAAATATGGCTTTAATTAAATTCTTTGCATATTTTTGAACTTTAACATAAAGATTAAACATTGTTTACGTAAATTTGTCAAATAAGATATCATTGTAGTTAAAAACATTCTTCTACTTGAAGATAATCATGAATTATTTCATTATTATTCTTCATGGCAGTGTGGGTTTTAACAATTGAACCCTGTGTCATTGCTGAAGTATAAACAGTTAGCTGCAAACAAATAATTTAGCAGGAAAATATATTTCAGAGATAAATAAATTAACAGATTTGCTGCAGTAAAATGGCGTGATTACCTTGGCGAATACTGTACACGGTGTACAGTACTGAGTACAGTTCCAACTATAATATCAGACATATTTGAATTGGCTTATACTAAAATGCACGAAATGTAATTTCTTGATGATTATGAAATAATTAAATAGTATTTTGGCGCCAAAAATATTTAAACAATTTTCCATGAATCATGTTTTTACTTAAAAGTTTTAGATCACCATACACTTTTTCAAATCCCAATTGAAAGAATTGGATTTTTAAATTGTGGATCCTATTGGAGAAAAGCGCCACTGTGACTTAAAAGTGATTAAAAGTCAGCAAGCGTTTACTTGAGAACCCATATTCATCCATCGAATGTAGATTTTTCGCTTTTTCTATTTCATACTTTTTTGAAGGCTATACGTTTAATAATTCTCTGCGCTATTTTCGATGGATTTGGAATAATATTTGAATTATTTGATATAGCCAGTATATACTAGCCAGACTCGGTGATGTATTCTGATTTGCCAAAACTCTGATTTTCTAATTCCTATATCTTTGTACCTTGGATATTTCAAACAATGAAATTGGTTAATTCGCATTCTGAGCTTAAAATATCATAGGCGTACTCCTTCAAGTTGCAAAGATATAGATTAGAAAACCAGAGTTTGTGGTTAAGACTCAATTCCTTTTCTAAAAACTCTGTATATTTGTCTAACCATGGGATGATTATGTAAACTGCAATTCTAACTATAAGGGGAAGATGCGCGGTTTAGAATGACGCTAAAGATAAGAATTGTATATACATTTTTAATTATAAGGAAATTATGTTAGTTAGTTAATACAGAGTTATCCACAAAGGATGAAACTTTATGGAGACGACTGTACAGAATTTAGTGAGATCATTTTTTTAAATACACGGTTCCCCACAGCTGTAAAATATACGGTTCCCCACAGCTGTAAAATATACGGTTCCCCACAGCTGTAAAATATCTGGTTCCCTACACTTATAAAATAGACGGTTCCCTACACCTGTAAAATATACGGTTCCTTACACCTGTAAAATACACGGTTCCCCACAGCTATAAAATACACGGTTCCCTACACCTGTAAAATAGACGTTTCCCTACACCTGTAAAATATACGGTTCCTTACACCTGTAAAATACACGGTTCCTTACACCTGTAAAATACACGGCTCCCTACACCTGTAAAATAGACGGTTCCCTACACCTGTAAAATATACGGTTCCCTACACCTGTAAAATACCTGGAGCCCTGTACCTGTAAAATAAACGGTTCCCTACACCTGTAAAATAAACGGTTCCCCACAGCTGTAAAATACACGGTTCCCTACACCTGTAAAATAAACGGTTCCCCACAGCTGTAAAATACACGGTTCCCTACAGCTCTAAAATACCTGGTTCCCTACACCTGTAAAATACCTGGTTCCCTACACTTGTAAAATACCTGGTTCCCTACACCTGTAAAATACACGGTTCCTCCAACACCTGTAAAATACACGGTTCCCCACACCTGTAAAATACCTAGTTCCCTACCCCTGTAAAATACCTGGTTCCCTACCCCTGTAAAATACCTGGTTCCCTACACCTGTAAAATACCTGGTTTCTACACCTGTAAAATACACGATTCCCATCTCCTGTAAAATACCAGGTTCCCTACACCTGTAAAATATCTGGTTCCCTACACCAGTAAAATACCTGGTTCCCTACACCTGTAAAATACCTGGTTTCCTACACCTGTAAAATATCTGGTTCCCTACACCTGTAAAATACCCGGTTCCATACACCTGTAAAATACACGGTTCCCCCGACACCTGTAAAATACCTGGTTCCCTACCCCTGTAAAATACCTGGTCCCCTACAGCTGTAAAATACCTGGCTCCCTACACCTGTAAAATACCTGGTTCCCTACGCTTGTAAAATACCTGGTGCCCTGTACCTGTAAAATACCTGGTTCCCTACACCTGTAAAATACCTGGTGCCCTGTACCTGTAAAATAAACGGTTCCCTACTCCTGTAAAATGTTTTTTTTCATTGACAAATCGTTTAATATTTCACCAAAAGACTTTGTTGAAGGCAAAAACTTTAGTTCAGATCTCAGATTGTTAGACTTAAAGATCGTAATGTCGTCATTTAAGTCTCATCCTTTGTGGGTAACCCTGTATAGAACACTGAGATGCTAATACATTGTGATCAGAATATACAGCTGTAAAATAAAGTATACGTCTTTAAAAGGAGTTCGTTAAAAAATGAAAGGGCTGCAGGATTAATCTGAATCCTATTCGGCATTAATTCACAACATTTCTATTTCTATCCTATGCTTCTACACCGGGAAATTAATATGAACCGATCAAACTTTTTATATGTGGTAGCCTGGTAGGTAAAATCATTACATAGAAAAGTTTTTTTTTATGAATTATCGAACGAAAAAAGCTTGTTTGCATTCTTAGCAACATTTTCGTGGATTTCTTAAATTTAAATTTAAAAAAATGATACATGTCAAAATTTGTGTTTGGTTGATTGAGCAAACAATACAAAGAATTAGGTTTCGAAGAAAAATGTCAAGTCTTCCGCAGAACGGACATTTCTGACAGGAAAATATTTGTCCTTTTTTATAGAATCCGAAAAAAATTGTAATAAAAAATCAACAGAAACCATGGATTTGAATTGAAGAAACTAACTTAAATCGATTCAAATGAGTTAAACTATTTCTCTTAAAGGAATTGAGCCTTTGCCA